TATAGAAACCTGGTTTCTAGCGTTGTAAGTCTGCAGACATACCGCTGTGCCACGTGGGGGGCGAATAGGAAGGTAAGAAATATTAATGATACTGTTGGATTCTTATTTACTTAAAAATATAACTACAAACATATGAAAATACGTTTGATAGGAAGATGAAGATATAATACACTTTAGTTTCATCTACTGATATTTTATTTCTCTTTCTGTAAATATATATATTTATGAAAATAATATATACATAAACAAGTGCCTTTAGGTAGTTTAATGATCCTTTAAGTAAACCACATTTATTAAGTGCAGAGAACGACATTAGAATATAATAGTTATTAACGAAGAACAAGCGAATATAAAGTTATGTTATTTTTAAAGTGTGACATGACTTACCAAGTAACACCCTCAACCCTGATGCTGGAACAATATATTTTAATCCCTCGTACACACAAATAACAAACGGTACAGATCAAGCACGTCGCGTAGGATAGCAAAGAAGGAATAACGTTCGGACTACAAGACACTCCTGTGCGCGTGGACTAACATAGGACAACGCGACAACTTGCTTATATACCAGAGTTTGAGAAAGGGAAAGTCACACGACACATCAAGCTCAGGCCAAAGGGTGGCGCGTGCCCTGTCAGCGGCCCGTACATAGTAGACCCGCGAGGTGGAGCTTGACTCTTTCAACAATGTGACATACTGCCATTTCTCATTGGCTACTCCGATTTCTCTCATGGATGAAACTCACTGACCAATCACTGTACAGAACTGTGATTTTCTGATTGAGTTATGGCAAGACAGTATCGTCCAGATTGGTGTGGTTTGAATGAAATTCTTGCCAGGACCCAGTGGTCACAAAAAAGTTTTAAATATCATATGTCAGTAGGAGTAATATAAATCCCAAGTTTATTATGCCCATCTTGTGGTTACATAGAAACAAAGACACATATCTTGTTAGCACTCTTTTGGACCTTTCTGTTGGTGAAATAAATATTCAGTTTATAAACTTTAAGTTAATTTGATTTCGTTTGTTTGTTTTGTGTAAGAATTCCCGCACAAAGCTACACAAGGATCATCCGCGATTAGCTATCAATAATTTGGAACGGATAGATTAGCGGGAAGGCAACTAATCAACAGTCAGTTCGTGGGCCACTCTTGTTTCTGACCGAAGAGTGGAATTTAACCGTCAATCGTGTAGCACATCCACTGCCCCAGCGAGATTTTGCAGTCACGGGACGCGAATCTTGAACCTTTTGATTCATACTCCAGGGACATTAACCACTAGGCCACTCCCGGGTCTTCTTATTTGATGAAGTTAAAGTTATCTGTGAGTAACTATATTTCTAACTTACCTTTTTTTTTTCAAATATCATTTGTTCGGCTATTAACTTAGGCAATCTTTGGTTAGGATGTAGAATCAGTTACTGAGGGAGTGAATAACTGACTCAACATGGCCCGCGTCTTGGTGGGGGATGTGGAAGCAAAGGGGAGCGTTCTTTTCTCCAGACTTTCACATAATGAACTTTTAAAAGAACTCCTCTCCTGCTATTGATATTCAAGGTTATGTATTACACATACATTATATACGAAGATAGTTTTAAACATCAACGTGACTTTGTATATTTAACATTAATCTTCAGCCTAGGTGGATTTACTTCTTACTTTGTCAACTAAAAGAAGAGAATGAAACCTTTTCTAACTATAGTAATGTAAAAATGCCTCTGTCTTCTAAAGCTGGTACCTTGTAAAGTAGTTTTTTTTAAGTTGCTGCAGTGATTTTCAGAAATTTGAGATTTCTCTTCAATTCTTATACGAGTATATTGAAGCTTTTTGAAGCACGGAAGTTGTAGCCTGTTTAACTGAAAACTATGCGTGTATGTAACTACCAGTTATCTTCAATCGGTGAACATTAGAGGTTCGAGTATCTTTAAGTATGAACTTCAATATAATATGAACCGTCAATTCGTCAGAAGTATAAAGACTGCAAAAAAGCTCAAGGGAGACATCT